TATTTTATATTCATATATATATATATATATATATATATATATATATATATAAACATAATACATTTTTAATAAATAAATATTGAAAAAAAAACAGTACCAGAATTAATATTATATACAATACAATTATATTAATATTAATTAAATGCAAGTAAATGAATAATGGAAGTACACCATGTAGTGTACACAACAATGTAAAGCTGAATAAAATATTAACATTTTTTTAATTAAAATGAAATAATAATAGAAATATGTTTCAACAAAATATTAGCATCAAACACTGAAAATCCTATAAAGGTCAACCACTGACTAGTTGAAAAAAATGTTATAATAATATGTGTTTGCTCCATTATTTCTCACAGAAAAAACTGAGACCTCATATGAACCAGCTTGCGTGACTGAGGTTTAAACAAATGAACGGGTCCAGTACTGACCTTACTGTGTTCTTATCTTCAGGGGAGTCGAGGAGACCTGCTTGTGTCTCTGTGTTACAATCCCACTGCCAACACCATCACTGTGAGCATCATCAAGGCACGCAATCTCAAAGCCATGGACATCGGGGGAACATCCGGTATCAACATACACCCATAAAACCTCACAAATGAATCATTTAACTTCATGTTATAGTTATATTCCTGTAGTAGATCATCTTGTAGAACATCACACCATCATGGGTTCGATTCACACAGGACACACTGTATATGTGTTTACCTTGAATGTTCTGTAAGTTATTTCACAAAGCATCTGCTAAGTGAATAAATGCAAATGTGATATAGTTAAATTCCGTGCACTGTGTGCTTATGGGATTTCTGTGGAAATGTCCTTGTCAAGGTGCCATCTGCGCAGTAATCATCTCCAATGTAATTTAGAATTCATTGCAGGAATTCTGATTCCCTGGCCCTGAATCGCTGTGGACTGTTCCCTGTTTGTGTGCGTTCCAGACCCCTACGTCAAAGTGTGGCTAATGAACAAAGATAAACGAGTGGAAAAGAAGAAGACAGTGGTGATGAAGAGCTGTTTGAACCCCGTGTTTAATGAGTCCTTCCCCTTTGATGTCCCCGCTCACGTCCTCAGAGAGACCACCATCGTCATCACAGTCATGGATAAGGACAGACTGAGCCGCAATGATGTCATAGGCAAGGTGTGATGTCACAACCTAGATAGAATTATTGGAATATTAGAAATCTTTTGTAACAATATAATCTAGCATTTAAATGTTTGGGGTCAGTGTGTGAGTGTGTGTGTGTGTTTTCTTTTTTGAAAGAAATAAATACTTTTATCTGGCAAGGATATGTTAAATTGGTAAAGAATCATCAAATTATCCTGAAAAAAAAATGATCACAGGTTCCAAAAAATATTATGCCTGTTTTTAACATTGATAATAAATAGGCATATTAGAATGATTTCTGAAGGATCATGTGACACTGAAGACTGGAGTAATGATGCTGAAAATCTGCTTTGCATCACAGGAATAAATTACATTTTGAAATATATTACAATAGAAAATGTTAAATTGTTTTAAATTTCACAATATTACTGTGTTTTTCATCAGATAAATGCAACCTTCGTGAGCATAAGGCACTTCTTTAAATCTTACTGATCCCAAACTTTTGAGATCATGAAGATGAATCAAACTTATTGTTTCAAACTTACCAATAGTATATACATTTACAGTATCCATATCTATATGTTGGTAAATAATGTTGTTTATTAAATATATGTAGTAAATACTGGTATATTGGTAGTACATACTGTGTACTAATTCATGGAAATTACTTAAATTTACTAAATGTAATGAAGTTTATCTGAAATACAAAATTTTAACTACATTTGAAAAAAAATGGGTGCAAAAACAATTTTCACTCAGAAATCGATTGGTACTTTCAAAATTGATTACAAAGAAATTACAAGTAACACTGAATAAAACAATTTTTTTTTTAGAAAGACTGAAATGTTATTTTCATGTAAAACATACTCCAGTAATCTTGGTTTTACTTACAACTTCAAAAAATAATTTTTATAGTGTACAGAATGGTTATTAACTATAATGTGTTTTTTTTTTTTTTCCTCCAGTTTATAGGTTTGTGGCTTTATTGGTAAATTACCACAGTGGAAGCACAATCCTTATTTTTTTCCTTGTTCTTGTTTCTTCCACCTTCTTTCTTTTCATGCCATATTTCTAGATCTATCTCTCATGGAAGAGTGGCCCAGCAGAGGTAAAGCATTGGAAAGACATGATGAGTCATCCGCGCACTGCCGTTGCCCAATGGCACGCTCTCAAAGCTTGAAGGACCCGCCCACCAAAAGTAAACAACACCTTCAAAACCCTGTTGATACGCGCAAGTTTAAACACGGGTACCAAAAGTCATCCAACCATCTTTCTTTCTCTTTCTCTCTCACTCTCTCTCTCTTCCTCCCTTCTCAATTTTTTCCTGCAGTTTGTTTATGGAGACCCTTCCTTTATTCACTGCTTTTATTTTTTCCCACCAAAAAGAGGCTAAGCACTGCCAAGAAGACTGGGAGAGAAAGCCTTGCGTAACCGAGAGAGGTAAACAGACTTCCTTGAGAAAAAAAGTTTGACAACTCAACTGTTGAGACCGCGGAACAGGGTGACTTCTATCATCGCTGAACTTAAAACGGCTGAAAACAATCTCCTGAACAGACCCTTCTATTGCCATGTTTGTGTCTCACCTCCCTCGCGCCGTCCCTCTGACCGTTAGGAAAGATCCGGAAGGATCGCAACCACAGTGCAATACCTAGTTGAAGGAGGGATGAACTTGTTGTGTGTTGGACTTCGTCACCTCTTGATGTTTTTCTTGGAACTGTGTAGAAATTCGCTGGAACTCTTCGTCGTCTGTATGTACTGTGGGTGCTGTTATGCGACAGAAAAAAGAGGTCTTGTTTAAAAAAAAAAAAAAAAAACACGGAAAAACGTAAAAATTCAAACTCACTTTAATTGACTGGATCAGTTCAAAGGTAATTTACTAAATTAATGTTCATTGAAAGTATGTTTTTTTTTTACATATTAAAATATTGTTTTATAGCAAAAGCAGATAACTCCAACAGTCGTTTTTTGGCTAAAGCAGATAACGCCACATTTAATGTTTTAGAGTTTAACAAAAACACTCGTTTAATCTTTGTAATCTCCTCAGATGACAATGTAGATGCCTGACAAACGGTGTTGTTGTTGTGACACGGAAAAACGTAAAAATTCAAACTCACTTTAATTGACTGGATCAGTTCAAGTGCGTAGGGGAAGTACATTTGAACAATTTTAGAACATTCCAACAAATAGGGACAAAATCTACGCAAGTACATAAATGTAAACATTTCTAGCCACGTTAGCTTGATTTAAATGCGTTGTTTGTTGAATGCTTCAGGCCTTGCTTCCACCTGGTATTAAGATGCGTTTTCAATGATGTAATCACAAGTGGTCTGTCAAGATGCATTATAGTTTACTCCTGCATTTAAATGCATTTCCTATGATAGCTTGTGTTCTGATTTCATCTAGACCCTCCCTTTTTATTTCGTCACTTGCTACATTAGTTTCGCAGAAGCGCTGAGAATGGCACACAAATACGATTAAATGAAGGAAGTCATTACATGCCATGGAAGCCGTGAAAGGAAGTGAATGAAAAGGATATGAACGGTAACAGATTTTGATCGTAATCGGTGTTTTTAGGCATTGCAAAGTCTGGATTGATTGCATTCGACTACATACACCAGCGTTATTATAGTTAACAACCTAAAACTGAATTAAAACTAAAACCATAAAAACAGTTTTGTGACTTGGAATAAAATAAACGTTAATTAAAATAAAAGTTTATATATGTTTAGGGTTCAGATCGCGCTATATGTGGAGAATAATGCACGGCAATCAGCTCTTTTTTTTTTTAAAGTGGTTTTTATCGGTTTTTGCAAATTAACTCTTCATATATAGGCCTATATAACTTTTTCCTTCAACTACTTACTAGTTACCAAGTTTAATTTGAAGCAGATACGTATATAGACTAAAAATGACAAAAACACACCAACATTACTAAACTAACTTAAATGAAAACAAAAAATATAAAAATAAAAACTGACTCAAAATATTAATAAAATCTATATAGTCATGATGAAAGCAATCCGATTAAATGCATTTTCGACTACCTCTGTAAGAAGTTGAAAGCTCAAAATGTTTTATTAAATTATTCGTGTTAAATTAAAATATTTATTAAATCACAAAATGCATGTAATTTTATTATATTTATTTTTATTGTGATAATCAAAACTGAAAGATGATTTCGCCACATTATTCCTTTCTACAAATGTTTGTCTTGAAACTGTGATTTATTATTATTTTTCATATTAATATACATTAGGCCCCAAATGTTGTCAGTAAAGTTTAACTTACAGTATACTGAACCCAAAATATCAAATGGTTTTTAATAGGCCTGTCACGATTACAACTTTTTGTTGTGCGATATATTGCCCCAGAAATAATTGCGATAAGCGATATTATTGTCATATTAAAGACCATTTTATGCCACTGAATATACAGTATAATCATAATGTAACAGCATAATAATGCAAGAAGGCCTACACACTTCCAAATGACAACAAACTT